AATCCCAGCACTTTGAGAGGCTGAGGCGGGCGGATCATGAAGTCAGGAAATCAGGACTATCCTGGCTAGCATGATGAAACCCTGTCTCTGCTAAAAAAAAAATTAGCTGGGCATGGTGGTGCACACCTGTAATCCCAGCTACTCTGGAGGCTGAGGCAGGAGAATTGCTTGAACCAAGGAGGTGGAGGTTGCAGTAAGCCGAGATTGTGCCACTGCACTCCAGCCTGAGCGACGGGGCAAGATTCTGTCTAAAAAATAAATAAATAAAAATTGAAATCACGAGTATGTACAGAAAATAAATAGGGAACACAAAGGAGACTCTTTTTTTCCCCCCACAAATAGGACTTTTTATTTGCCACTATTGTAAGTCTGAACTTTAAACAGATTCTTGGACTGGTGGAGGCCAAGGCGGGCGGATCACGAGGTCAGGAGATCAAGGAGACTCTTTTTTACTGTTCATTGCCAAGTGGTCATGGGAAAGGGAATGCTGGAGTTGAAAAACTAGTATTTGGTAATCATAGTGAAGACTGAATCAGGCAAGAATCATCCATTGGTGTTAGATCTTAAGGGAAATCTTGGCGAGGATCATATTTACGTGGCTTTAAAGTATTTCCCACAGATTGCTTATGAGTTGTGTATTAATTCCCTATTGCTCCTTTAACAAATTACCAAACAGTTCCGTAAAGTAACGGATTTATCTTACAGTTCTGGAGAGTCAGAAGTTCAAAATGAGCCTTAGAGGGCGAAAATCAAGGTGTTGGCAGGACTGGTTCCTTCTGGAGGCTCCTGGGAAAAATGTTTTCTTTCATTTCAGTCTCAAAGCCAACAGTGGAACAGCTTCAAGTCTCTTTGCTCCTGTTGTCACATTGCCTTCTATCTGACTCCTTTGTCCCTCTTGTAAGGCCCTTGTGATTACTGCATGGGTCCTACCTAGATGATCCAGGATCCTCTTCTTGCTTCAAGATCCTTAATCACGTTGCAAAAATCCTTTTGCCATATAAAGTAACATTCTTATAAGGCTCTGGTGATTAGGATGTGAATATGATGTGGGAAGGGGAGGCGTTTATTTCACCTGCTACATGTTGCAAGATAAAAGTAACTTCACAGTGCAGAAATTGGACAATACCTTGACCAGGTAATCAAAATCAACATCCATAAGGGCAGGTGGACATCCTGTGCTTCCAGAGGTGATACTTTGGGAAGAGTCTATCACCATCTATGCAATATTTGGTTAAGGATCCATTATCTGAATCAAATTGTGAAACCTGAGATCCCCAAAGGAGGGATTTTCTCTGACAAGTTAGAATGTACTTCAATACAAGTATTGTATCCTATTTACTGAAGTTCTTATACAACCCTGAGCTTGAAGTTATTTCCAAGTAAAATGTTAAATATTATTTTTAAATAGGAGTAGGAATTCTTTTGGCACAGTTTATCTCCCGTCTTCCTGTGGGGCATCCTAGCAAGACTTCTGGACACAGAACTGAAAACTGAACAGCAATACGGCTCAAGAGACCCGCGTAACTCCCAAAGGAGCATTCTGCTTTACAGGGTAGCCCAGGAGACAGTAGGATGGCAAGTCTCTGAGGCAGCAGAAGTCCTAGTGGTTAAATTATGTCTTTGAGGCTTTCTGTCTGCTATACAAGAAACCAAAGCTGCAAGGGCTCCCACCAGAGACCACAGAAGCCAGAGGAGGAGAGTCTGCCCATGTTGTCTGCCATAGGAGAAACAAAAGGGAGATGGCAGCAAGAGGATGGTGTGACAGCTGGCTGTACAGCTGCACTCAGGTCCTTCTGGCTTAGAAATAAAAGGCCCCAGGGAAAGAGCCTGCTTTAAAGACTTCTGAGCCCAAGCTGCTGCTAAGACACTGCAGAGGTTGAAGGGTTTTTTTGTTTCCCTGATGTGTGTGGCAGAAGGGAGGGATGAGAGTGGGTTCAAAGACTTAAGGCAAAGAGCTCTGTGTTGTAATATTTCAAATTTGAAAATAGGATCTGATGAAAAAGGTGCCCAGTTAGTTTTACAAGGAAAGTGGCCAAGAACTTAGAGATTCTGCTGGAATAGTAGTTGTCCCGCTGTCTATAAGTAGGACTTGGCCAGGCGTGGTGGCTCATGCCTGTAATCCCAGCACTTTGGGAGGCCAAAATGGGTGGATCACTTGAGATCAGGAATTTGAGACCAGACTGACCAACATGGTGAAACCCTGTCTCTACTAAAAATACAAAAAATTAGCCTGGCCTGGTGGCGGGTGCCTGTAATCCCAGCTACTCAGGAGGCTGAGGCAGGAGAATTGTTTGAACCCAGGAGGCAGAGGTAGGAATGAACGGAAATAGTGCCACTGCACTCCAGCCTGGGTGACAGAGCGAGACTCCGTCTCAAAAAAAAAAAAAAAGAAGTAGGGCTAGAAAAACTAGGGCAGTACTTCTGAAACTTGAGTGCACGTGAAAATTACTTGAGGATCTTCTTAAAATAGAGTCTGATTCAGTAGTTCTGGAGTAGGGCCCAAGAGGCAGCATTTCTTGCAATCTAATTAGTAGATGTTGATGCTGCCTACGGTATGTGGACCACACTTTCAGTAGTACTGAGCTAGTGTCATGGTCAATGGAAAATTGGATGGGTCACATTGCAGAGAAATGAAGACAGCTGTTGCATGAACCACTGCTGAATTTAAATGTAAATATCAATGTGCTGCTCTAAATGGCCTTTGAAAGCAATAGGTGTTGCCATAGTAATTGCTAAAATAAGAGTCTGTTTGATTTCCAAGGGTTAGAAATGTTCTTATGGATATGATTAAAAAGCCAGTTTGATACCACCCAAAGCAATGTACAGATTCAATCCAATCACTACCAAAATACCAATGACATTCTCAACAGAAATGGGAAAAACATTCTTAAAATTTATATGGAACCACAAAGGACCCCAAATAGCCAAAGCAATCCTGAGCAAAAAGAACAAAGCTGGAGGCGTCATGCTACTTGAGTTCAAAATATACTACAAAGCTGTAGTAGCCAAAACAGTATGACACTGATATAAAAACAGAGACAGCAACCAATGGAACAATAGAGAACCCAGATATAAATCCATACATACCACACTCATTTTCAACCAAGGTCCCAAGGACATGTGATAGGAAAAGGACAGTTTCTTCAATACATGGTGCTGGGAAAACTGGATAAACACATGCAAAAGAATGAAAATAGACCTCTATCTCCAATTCAAATCAAAACAGGTTACAGACTTAAATATAAGATCTGAAACTGAAACATCTGGAAGAAAATGTTGAGGAAATACTCAGGATGTTAGTCTGGGCAAAGGTTTTTTTTGTGTAAGTCTTCAAAAGCACAGGCAACCAAAGCAAAAATAGACAAATGGGATTACATCAAACTAAAAAGCTTCACAGCAAAGGAAAAAAGTGAAGAGACAACCTACAGAATGGGAGAACATATTTGAAAACTAATGATCTGACAAAGGATGAATAACTAATCGATATAAGGGGCTCAAACAATTCAATAGCAAA